CTCTTCTTTACTACTTAGTTGCTGGTAATCTATAGCTACCGTTCTACCACTCGGTATACGCTCGACCACCAACGGCTCCTTTGTCCATTATTAATCAACGAAATAAAAGTTGTCTATTACAAGTGTAAGCCTAAACAACGAAAGGAAGATTATTCGTAGTCTCAGCAATCTATAATACAAGATATAGATGCATTTTCAAGTAGTCACCTACTCGTAAATGACAAAGGTTATGATTTTCTTAATCTGGATATAGCTGTGTGTGGAGGCCTTGTCCTTCAGCTACGTTCGGCTTAGGGCGATACAGCTTATTATGGCAGTCTTTCCACGTATCATAGTAAGGTTAGTGCATAACCTGCAATCCCAACTAGATATCTTGGAAGTCCATAGCATTGTAGGGCTCGTGTAGAAACTGTAGGAAGCCTCAAAATTCCGTACTGGATTTCATCCATCTCCCTAACCCTTTTTTATTATTAAAATTACCTACACAAAACCCTATGGTTTCCGATTCCCACGAAACTGCTACCGTCGGTGACGAGCAGAATCTCGTACGCTTTCTCGAAGATGAGCGCTTTCATCAGACCTTCACAATCCCACCCATTCCAGGTCGTCAACGACCATTGACTGTCACTTACTGCGATTACGGCTACCGTAACGCCGACGAGCCGCAGCGCGAGCATGTCCTGCTATTCTGCGGCCCCTTGCAGGGCAGGTAAGCCTTAAGAAGAAACCCTCGTCATTACCCGATTGACCGCGTAATGAACTGCTGACGAAGCTCGCAACAGCCGCTTCCTTCAACTTGGGAAAGATAGTGTTGCCAAAAAGCACCGCGTGAGGATCATTCATCCAGATCGGCCTGGCTTTGGCGGCACCAGTGAGGTTGATGCCCGGGACCGGGTTCGCGTTTGGCTTGAAATCGTGCCAGCGCTGTTAGAGCACCTCGGTATTCAGCACGTCGCAATTGTTTGTCACAGCGGCGGGACTGTCTACGCGCTAAACACACTGCTGTACCTGCGCCACCTTCTGCACCCGACGCATCCTTACATCGCCATTTGCTGTCCTTGGGTCCACCCGTCGCAATCTGGTTCTTCTCTGATGAGTATGGCAAATATACTGCCTGACGGGCTCGTCGGCAGTTTCAGCGGCGTCTCTCGTTTTATCACCACTACGCTAGGGCCCGTAGGGGTACTTTTCAAAGGAGAGAGTTACCTTGCGCCCGGTGTGGATGTTGACGCTGTCAAGTTTGAAGCGAAGCTCTGGCCACTGCTCTTGAAGCGCGCCTACAGTGAGAACGTTCAGGGTCTTGGTCAGGAGGCACTTCTCCTTTTAAAGAGAACCGAGCACCCCGAATATTGGGGATCTTGGGTCGATTACGACAGGCTCGTGCCTCTCTTGGCAGATGCAGAGCGTGCGTTAGGTGCCAATGCCCCGAAAGATGCTTCGCTACTAAAGGTGGACGTGTTCTATGCAGAATCTGATAACATGATCGGTACCGGTCGTGGACCGGAGTATTTCGATAACTGCTGGAGGCTGGAACAGCGTGGCGACAAGATCCAGTACAGTAGCGTTGTCGTTCCTAAGACGAATCATGACGGCATATTGGATCTGAGATATGGCGTCGCGGAGCGTGTTTTTCAAACGATTTCCGATTCGAGCTAAAGAGGGCACTTTGGTACATCCGATTCATAAGTTATACATTGATTTATTTCAAATATATATATCCTGGATATAAAATCTTCAGAGTATATACTAATAGAAGAAAGCTCTTATTCATATCGATAAAGCTACTGCCACATGGTTCATTTGCTAAGGAATTGAGTTGGTTGAACCTGTAAAAAAACGTTTAATAAATGAAATGTATATATATACATAATCATCAGCAGCAAATGAGCTTGGAGGAAAGAGGGAATACAACTCAAGCGACTCAAGGGAATACATGGCTGTATATCTTCGACAGAACAAAGTTCTTTTTTCGACATGAACTTGCTCTTCGGGTGTATTCTAAACACCTTTCTGTGACGTCAATTGGACCATCCCATTCAATTGCAGCTACATGTACTTGTACTTTCCATCTAACCTTACATAGTGCCTAAAGGATAGTGGCAAACGGGCGAGTATCAATTGCCGTTTGTAAGAGTCCGCATCCATGTGTTTCATGCGACAGCGCTTTCCGTGGCCCTTTGAAATCTGCAAACGGAGCATAGAAGCCTCGTAGTATCCTAACGTCCCGGCGACTCGAATTTGGCAGTAGAGCATAGTCTTGCTCTAGAGGAACAACACCCACGTGTTGGGGCGACGACAATGTACAAAATCCAAACGATACGTATATAGCTCATTAGAGAACATTCACACTAAATGGTTGTTCGACATGCCTTCCGGGAACTCTTGCCAAGCTGGGTTTATCTGTATGGACATACGCTCTTCCTATGGCTCCTGCCTTGCTCCAGACCAACAAACTCCTAACGTTGCTTAATTCAAACATTAGTTTATTCTTCAAAGTATCAACTCAACACCTTAGACAACATGCAGTTCTATCTTCTCGCCTTTGCTTCTATCCTGGCATTTGTCCACGCAGTTCCTTTCATGGACAAGCCTCAGCTCTTGGAAGACCGCGAGCCAAAATGCATTGTAAGTTATTCGAGTGCACAGGGCTAACTTCATTGCGAATGAGGGACGCTGACTTTGGTCTTCATGATGCAGTGGGTGCCGGATGAGACTACTCCTTGCGATCTGCAACACCCCTATCTATGCGCTAAAAAAGAGAACCAGGCTCAGTGCTGTGTAGGTGTCACCTTGTTCTACTTATAATAAGCCGTGAACTGATCGGTTGTATAGGAACGCTGCCACTAGATCCCTTGAATACTATGGATTGCTCTTGCTCGTATTAGCATGAACTGTATCGAAAATGCCTAAACGGGCGGACAGGGTAGGAATCACGGGGAATGGCTTCTTTCTCAATCCACATGCGCATGCAATTCCTGAATTGTGGATTAAGCATTAACCCGTCGTTGTCATGGTTAATACTATATCATTATGTAGGTAGCATAGCCTCTTTAAGAATTGTATTGAAATCCATTCCATCATGATGTTTGCAATGCTGCCAGCGTGTGCTGAATTGAAGTTCAATGGACTTTATATTAATACAGTATCAACTATCCAGTCAGCTTTGGATTTTACATGACCGGATCATGCCTGCCACTTAGGAGGGCTGAACCTCAAGTTGACAAGGCCAAGTATTGTCTACATGATACCTTACATCTGCAGGCAATCATTTTGCAGCTTTTTACGCAGGTAACCCCTTTAATATAAATATGGAAGCATCCAGATTCTGCTAGTGAAGTTTGAATCTAATATTATTACATCCGCGATTTCGCGGCAAAGTAGATGGAATCCTTAATCGTAAGTCTATATTTATGAATAACGGGGGACAATAACACACTTCAGTGTCTTTATAATGCGGAGTTCGTTTTATATAATAGCTACCATATGCACTCATGTTCAATTCAACTATCATTGATATGCAGAAACACGTAGGATCACTAGAAATTTAATAAATCGCAAAGAAACATGATCCCCAGAATGGCGTATATTTTCCTCTACCATTTTCAGTCTCGTAATACCTATAGCTTGACTCATGCCTCAGGGTTGGTAAAAACATCTACTAGGGGACTGACGAGGTCCTCACACACTATATCTAGCAGCTAACGCAACACCCCCATACCGAATCCCGAACAACAACGCCTTTCGAGATGCCTTATATACCGTAGCGAGTGCCATTGATACTAGTTTCGCCGATTCATTTCAGATTAATTGAGGTCCATGAGTTGTTCATTGTCATGATATCTTGGGATAGCTTTAATGACGCGTTTTCTCTTCACAATCTTAGCTGCGTGCGAGTTATGTGGGATGGTATTTCGCAACAGTTCTTTCTTGGACTCATCGAACTGGGTTCGAAGTTCTCTCAGCCAATCATATGTGCCTATCTCCCACTGCAGTATTAATCGAATGACCAATGAGGCGGCTGATCGGGGGTCAATCTGAAGGACTGGTGCCACATTTGTACGCCAGTTCTCTAGCTGCCTAAGGAGTATTTCGTGTTGACGATCGGCACATACGCAGGCTGTGGCGTTGTGATGTATGCGTGGAGCTTCTGGTAAGCCAAGTGCATCAAGCCAGATATAACAGCCTCCGGGAAGGATGGCGATGCCTGGAGTTTGTTGGTGCCAAATCATGGTGAACGATGGTATCGTGTGGAAATTACAGAGGGAAGATTGAGTTGAGAGGAATTCACTAGTCGAGATCTCATTAGTATTGGAATATATATTCGAGGTGTCTACGTTTGTTGCTCACTTGCTGGCTTTCAATGTTGTCCGGGCATCGACTGTATATCCTCTGAGGTAGGTATCCAAGGTGACTCAGGCGGATGAACAATGGCCTTAGGTCAAGTCATAGTTCTCTCATGTAGCTGGGAAAATGCAAAGCAGAAATTCGCTGCCTCGTTAATGGAAATTATTGAAACATAAGTCACCTTTGCATTCAGCCTTAAAGGCCTTTCCTAATTCACGGCTCGAATGAGCAATGTCCCTTAAAATCTGTACTTTGAGTTACTTTGAGTCACTTAGGTATTATGATACTGGCTCTGACATACGCAGTTGTGAATAAAGAAGCCATTTATGTATAATCATGGATACGACCTCTATACTGTAATTGCCAGGCTTATAAGATATAGCTATTGTACTGCCATTGTGGCGATGGTGCGCGGAGACAACAAATAAACTTATCCTTTAGTTCCTCAACTTTGTCTGCTTTCAGGGCGTTTAAACCCTGCTTCCTAGCTTTCTAAGGCTTAGAAATTATAGTGCATTTAGGGTAGGATTAATTAACTCAGAGAGCAATAGATAACGACTTTAAACTGCTGGCAATGCGATTAGTCCTATGCATTACTGAAGCTCGTCGCTAGGTGATAGATATAAATTAGAACCAAAAAATTCAATCATTACCTGGGGCGCGTAACTCAGTGGTAGAGTGTTCGCTTTGCATGCGAAAAGTCCAGGGTTCGATCCCCTGCCCGTCCACAAATATTAACATTTTGGTACAAGTCTGTGTTAGGCAATGTTTGCTTTTTATCTTGTTCACTTTTAGAATCTAAGCTGACAGCTCTACTATACATGCTTTGAAATAACCCATGTTATTTTAAGAAGTAGCTGTAAACTCATTCTTTTCTTTTCTGTAAGAATGGAAAATACACAGCAAGAATATTATATAAGTTTCCTTGTTAGGTGAAGTGATTTTTAAGTTCTGTATGTACCTAGTAGTTAGTCTTGGCTTTTGGGGCAATCTTGGCCAATGAGGTCCAATAATTAACATTAATGCAAGTAGCTAAAGCCAGCAAATCTAACGAAATTCTTAAAATTTAATGGTGGCCTTGATGTCGTGTATGGATTTGAATGGCGGTTGAAGCTTATCTTCTAGCGCTGCCACCGCTAGCCACTAAAACAGGTGTCGTAACAAATCACCCCTTGGCTGATAGGCTGACTATCTGGGCGTCCTACTGTACATAGTCTGCCCGGCTTCTGCCATCATCAGTACCTCTCAAGGATGAAACCTGAGGCGGAAATCGTATAGTAATATAATATCGTCCCATTACGAGTTCGGGTCGTTTCATTCTTAGCCGCTTCTAAGCTTGATCTGATAATCGTCTCTTACTGTTTTCACGATGGCTCCCCACAACATCCAAGACGAAGGTCCAGCAGACCTTGAAAATGAACCTGCGGGAACTGAAGTCAGACCGCCTACCCCACCACCAATGTCCGCAAAGCCACCCCGCGTGCTCATCATCGGCGCCGGATCTCGTGGGAGGGTATACGGCCGCTGCACGTTGCAATCGAGCAATGGGGTCGTAGCTACAGTAGTGGAACCCGACGGGTACAAGCGGATGGATTTTGGACGAAACTTTATCTGGGGCGCTCAGGGGACGCCGCCGGAAGGGTCGAACTTCATCGACTGGCGCGACTTCATCACCTGGGAGATTGCGCGGCGCGAGCGTGAAAAGGCCGGCGAGGACAACGTTCCTGAGGGCGTCGATGCGGCCTTCGTCTGCGTTCGCGACGAGATGCACCACGATGTGGTTGTGGCGCTGGCACCCCTCGGGCTACATATCATGTGCGAAAAGCCGCTTGCGACGACGTTGGACGACTGTGTGGACATGTACCGCGCAATGGCGCCGCATCAGAAGGACAAGGTGTTCTCGGTGGGGCATGTGTTGAGGTATTCGCCGCATAACATGATGTTGCGGAAATTGCTGCTGGAGGATAAGGCGGTTGGCGAGATCCTGAGCATTGTCCACACCGAGCCCGTTGGGTTCTGGCACTTTTCGCACTCCTATGTGCGAGGTAACTGGCGTAAGGAATCTACGACGGCACCTTCATTACTGACGAAAAGTTGTCACGATATGGATATCATCCTGTGGTTACTTTGTTCGCCACCGCCAGGGTCGGATGAGCCGCCACACTTGCCGACAGAGCTCACGTCTACGGGATCGCTGCAGTTCTTCAAGAAGAGCAGGAAACCAAGAGCCGCAGGAAATGCAACGAATTGCCTAAGCTGCGCCCATGAGCCTGACTGTATGTACTCGAGCAAACGCATCTATATTAGCCCAAGACACCAAGGTCTTATGACCGGTAATATTCGCTGGCCTATGAGCGTCGTCCTACCAGACATCGAGAGCTTTGGGAAGGATAAGGAGTCGGCAAAGACCAAGTTACTAGGACACCTGGCTGAGGATTACGACGAATCAACGCCGCAGGAAAAAATTGATAGCCAGAATTGGTTTGGACGATGTGTGTTCGAGTCCGACAATGACGTATGTGACGAACAGACCGTAACAATAAAATGGGATGAGGATCCAATCCCATCCTCAGAAACTAGATATAAAGATTCTGTGGGGAATAGGGGCTCAAAACAGGCGACCTTTCATATGATCGCCCAGACGAAGAAACAATGTCATCGCTTCTCCTATGTGTACGGAACAGAGGGAGAGATATATGCCGACTCGAGAACGATCACAATTGAAGATTTCAGAAATGGGGAGACGCGAAGCTATAAGCCGAAGCTAGAGTCTCTTGGCCATGGGGGCGGCGATCATGGTATCACGCGACAGTTCATATTGGCCGTTGATAAGGTTAAAAACCATGGCTGGGTGGCAGGGAATGCTCAACATGAATACATCGGCTGTAGTCTTGAAGAAATCATCAGAAGCCATGCCATGGTATTTGCGGCCGAGGAAGCGAGGACTGGCAAGAAGATCATCGATTGGAAATCCTGGTGGAATGAGAAAGTCACTGGAATTTGAGGAGCACTTTTCTTCGCCCTCGATGCCAGATCATATACATCTATAGGATAAGCTAATAATAATGATGGTTCTACAATAACTTCTGGTGTTACGTCCTAGAACCCCGTAGTGTTTTCCATGGAGGGTTCGCAAGCCACTCTAAAATACAGTCGTGAGGAGCTGTGGACTTTCCATATCATCACTATTTGATTATGGATACGCTTCTTATGAAGACACTATAATCATGTGAATTACTCATCTGGACCCGATAGCGGTTCATTTGACATTGGTATTAGCCTCGCAGAAAGATCCGGGTTTTCAAACGCGCGATCATATGGCCACATTGGGCGTCTGATTCGATTGTGGCCGAGTCTTTCTAGGTCTTGATCTACACCACCGGGTGTCAGTCCAAGCATCCAGTCGTTGGCCATATCGTATAACTCTGGCTCAAGATAACCTATCTTAACAATCACAATATCGGCCGACCGGGGTGCGAGGTCAAGCTCGGTGAAGTCACTTTCGTGGTGATAAGGCTTACGCAGCTTGGTCAGAATCGCGAAAATGCTGCCGACCTGCAATACGACTTCAACTACGGCATATTTATCCCCATGCTTTATTGAATGGACTCGTCCAGTCATTGTGATTGGCCCAGCATGAAGATTGTCTACTTCCGCTCCAGCTGTCACTGTCACGGTTGCACCAATCCCGGCATCGACTGCTTCCTGCACAGCTTCGGGTCCTGGAACGCTCGCATATATGACTTTCGGCCCTGAAGGCTCTCTAAACTCAGGGCGTGCCAGTAATTGCGTTAAGCCCCAAGTTACGTCTCCAGAGCCCCCTGCAGTAGGGTTGTCACCGGAATCCGAGACGAAGTACGGATGCTTATCGGATGCTAGCGCTATGTCGAGGCATTCCTTGAAGGAGCCTGTAGGGGCAACAAAGTGAAACTCCTTACGAGAGTCCCAGAATGTTCTCGCCAACCTTTCAGCGCCTCGTGAGACGGCTTCTTCGTCCCAGCCTGTGACCACGACTACGGCACGGTTTCGAGGCTCGTCGGCCCCGGCATAGCCAACCCATATTGCCGCATCCAGTACACCTTCAATAGCCTCAATCTCCGGAACAGCAGCATATATATGTGCAGCTGGTTCATCCCGTGTTGAAGTTTGCTCACCCGGGAGCAGAATCGGGATTGGTACCCACGCCTTGAACGGGCGCACAACCTTCTCGCCATCCGGTCGTCGCTGAAGCAGCTTTAATAGGTTCCGACATGCGCGCTCTTTCGTCTCAGTGACATCCACATGCGGTGCAGTACGATAACATGTTATCAGATCTGTCTGATGTGCCAGCCCACGGGATACATTGCCATGCAAATCCATAGACGCAGATACCAAGACACTAGGCCCAATGACTTCCCGGCAGCGCTTCAACAGCTCAAATTCAGCGTCATGGAGGTTTTCGACGCACATTGCGCCGTGTATGTCAAACCATAGTCCATCTAGCTTCGTAGAGGCCACTATCTCGCCAAGGCGGTTGATAATCTCCGCCGATAACGATTCGAACGCTTCTCTAGTAACCATACCGCCCGGTAGCGCATGGCCAATCAAAGCACCACGCCATTCTGCTGTATCTCCTAGCGGGGTGCCGCTTTGTATGAAGGGATATCTTTCTATTATTTCTGCACCTCGTTGCGGGTGAAATGCAGGCGCGAGCGTTCGTGATGGTGTGAAAGTCGACGTCTCACAAGCCAAAACAGCGATCGCAATAACTGGACGAGGCGCCATTGTTGGGTAACTTTTAGAGGCAAACGAATATTCTAGCTGTATTCATGATATCGGGACAAGGTCCACGCTGGTCCTCATCGAAGACAGCCAATTAATGAAGGATTAGGAACCAATGGCTTGTGGACCCGCTCTCGGGAATCCAAGCGGAGATCTCGGCGACTAGGCTGCACCATGAGGTTTGCTCCGTGACGGCAAATCTTAGTATCTATATATATGAATATATAAGAAGCATGTTTATTTGCATAAGCATTTTTTTGAGGCACAATTCTCGATCCATATGTCTATATTATCCTGTATTTGATCAGAAAAGCTACGGGGGCAATCTGCCACAGCACCCATGGGAACCTATTCTCAATAACAACCCCGCCGCTTGAAAGAATCCCAAATTTCCGTGGACAATACTCTTATTATTATTATTCTCGAACTAGAGCCATCTAGACCACTAGATTTCCCTCATTCTGTCTACTGTCGTTATAACCACATTTACGGTGGTGGTGACGGCTTTGAGACAACTGCATACAGCATCCTCAATGACAAATATTCCTCATGATACTGCGTTGTATACACAATGATGTAATCATCAGTACCAAACTGGTAACTGTTGACACAGAGATTAGAAATATGTGTACCCTCGAGAAGTTGCCTCACCTCTCTCGCTTGTCTCACGGCCGGACTCGTGAAAGACCTAAAATTGAGTTCAGCTTCATCGCTTATCTCAATGCGCATCATACCCAATTGATATTTTATATACGGGCACGACTGATAAGAACAGCTGCGATACTAATGCTCCCTAATCTAATCCTATATCAAGAATTGGACTGTTGAATGTCGATAGCTTAACATGTAGAAAGATAGATGATAGTTATACACCTATTCTCCGAAAGAATGCGGGTTTATCTTGAGTTTCAATATCTAGAGATACCTAAAGTTTACATATATATATACTTACGAATAGCATCGTCAT